ACTGATCATCTCTATAATACCATTGATCATGACGCTGATTGGATGGACTAATAAGATTTAGCATCATATGCGAATACCAATATTTCATTAGTTTAGTGTAATCAAGAATAAATTCTCATCTTGCGTACATTCTCTACAACATTTTTGCCCCGAACAAATCGTTCATCTTGAGTGGGTGAATATGTATAGTTAAAAATCGATTTTGCAATTTATTTCAAATATACGTCTCTGTGTAGAATAATGACTGAAGCATTTTTTAAAGAAAAATAATGACATTCAAAGATTAGTCTTGTCGATTGTGTCAACGGAATAATTGCAGTCGCACGCCAAATAGTGGAAGAATATTCATCTTGGAAAGTAAGTTTGATTGGATTTAGAAGTCATTTCATTAAACTAACTTATCTAAGGATGAGGGTACCGGTGGGTATGGTGTGACTGACGAATAGTGAAAAGAAATCTACACCCATACCCTAATAATTTTTAGTATTTTTCCTTGAAAATATCAAAATATTAAATAGATAACGTTTGAAATAGTGAAGAAGCATTTATTGAGAACGAATTACATGAAGCAGAAAACAATATTCAAAAATTAAATAATGTAATAAAATGATAAAACTTTAGAGATACATCCAAAGAATTGAAAAAAAATATATAATGAATAAAATGTTCATATTTTGGAAATTGTTCGATCAATTGATTTTGTTTATTCTAAAAGACACATAATTGAAATCAACAAGGAGTACATTTCTATTTCATCAAAGGTTTCAGTAAATATTTCGATTTAACATACAATATCCTAACTAAACAAATCTTTGCACGAAAATCAGGTCTTCTTTCGTTAGCTTATTATTTCAAGTATTCGTCCATTTAGACATAGAAAAAGTTTTATACTAGAATAAATTTCACTAGTTAGACCAAATTCAATGAAAAGTGAGCAGACACTCCCATATATCTGTCACTCGTATTACACTATGATGAAAACCATTAAGGATATTGTACCTGTCGATGTAGAATGATTCTTTTTTTCTTGAAGAACATAAATACATGGAATCAGAATGCCTATTGTCACAAGTATAAATCCTAATAAACCAAAGATCCAATAATTTGATGATATCGAAAATAATTTTTTCCTATGAAGATAAGACATTACGTATTAATATACTACAGAAAAAGAGACATACGAATGTGTTGATACCGTCTGTAACGATTGTGAAGAAGCAGAGGTATTATTGATATTATTTGCATCCATTATTTCGATAGTTTCACTTTCAATAGTAGATATTGGTTTGATTGAGTTGGTTGTTTTCTTTCGCCGTTGATAAATTTTGTTTATAAAATAAACAATTTTCGGAGAGATCCATTTGAGAACGATTGTTAAACCACCATATAAACCAAGAAAATAAGTCAATGTATAGAAAGAATTCAGTTGTTGAATATATGTATATGAACAGATCATTGGTGAACATTTATAAAAATATGATGAATAATTCATTATTGTTGACCATTTTTCAACAAATAGATCATTGATAAGATTCATCACAGTCATATTCATTAGAAATCGACTATTAGTTATGTTGAGAGGAATCGGAGTGATGTTTTTATTATATCCTGTCATTGTTTGAATAAGATTAATACATGATTGATCATAAAAACATTCGAGAGTTGATGCCAACAATGATTCACTCGGTGTACAACCCATTTTCAAACCTTTAATTGTTATAGTTTGTGTCGAATTCATGTCGATAAAAGAAGCATTAATAATACAAGTAGAATTTAATTGACATGAGCAGTTATTATCATAGATCATTGCTTGAGTATATAAAGTGGTCGAAAATATACTATAAACAGAAGCTAAGTATTGATAATTAGTTCCATACGATGAGACAATTGCATTTCCATGATTTGTAGCTTGAAGTAACGAAAGTAGACGAATGAATGTTGAAGGAGCATTGGATTTTGCTTCATTAATCATTGAATTAATATGTAAATTAAAATTCTCTTCTGATAATAATTGCTTAGTAATCATTAATGAAGACAAAGATTGTTGAATAGATTGATTTACTGTTTGCATCGAAAGTTGACATAATCCATTTAAAAATTGTAAATGAGTAGAGAGAAATAGACGATAATCTCTTTGATTATAAGCAGATAAATTAGAAATTATATTTGCTGTGATATTTAATCTCCATTCATTTGAAATCAAATCACTTGAACAAATCTATCAGAAGAATAATATAAAAAATCTCTTTATCATTTTTTTTTCTTACCTGATGAAATATCGGTTGAATTTGAAGATATTCATCGTATGGAGATGAAATCAATGAACATGGACATTCAAGTTCATCACTATGTTCATTCATTAGATTCTGATAGAAATTTAATGATGGTGCTGCAAAGGATTTGGTCAATGTTTGTGGTTGAATAAGTGTATAAAGAGTTAAAATGACAAAGATGATGCTTAGAAGAATAAGATAAAGACGAGTTGACCATTGACCAAGATGTTTCACCGTTATTCGGTCGATCTTACTTCCGAATATTCGTGCAGGAAATATATTTAAATTCAACACTTTTATAGATAAAAATGTTATTAGTTTAGATAATAACACCTTGAATCGATCAAGTAATTTTCGACGAACTATAATTTGAAGATAAGATCAATATTATATGTTATTATTAATTACCTTGTTGTTGTTTCTTCGGTTTTTTTTTGAAATAAACCAAAAATTATCTTAACGAGTTGGAATGTAATTAGTCGTAATGCCATAACAAGACCACCCACCGTAGAAATCAGTGTCACTAATAGTTCGCTAAAAGTTTCTGTATGTTTTATTTGAGTATAAGTACAATAAGTTGGTGCACATGCTTCATAATAATCAGAAAATGACAATGATGTATTCCATTGTTCAATCATCATTTCTTCGACTATCGATGAAACTGAAGTATTTGGAGGAAAACGAGTTGATGTTTGATTATATATTAATGGATGTGCATACAAATTTGAATCATTTCCAGCCGACGAATATGTTTTGTTTATATAATAGAAAAGATGATTCATACAATCGGAATCGGTGTAGAAACATTGAAGTGTTGATAGAAGAACAAAATCAATAGTGTAACATGCATTAACCAACCCAGGTGCCACATAATCACTACTGAGCGTTCCAAAATGAATACCAGGCAGTGGTACACGACCAATTGTAGTTACAATTGCGAAACTAATTGGTCCTTGACAACTGGGATCAATATCACAGTGACATATTATCTTTTCCAACTGGTTCTTTGTAATAGTATTGAAACGAAATGCAAACTAAATAAATAGAGAAGAATTAAAATTCGATGAGAATTTCATTAAACAAGATTCAGAACTTACGCTTTACAAGATTTGGATATAGTCTTAAACTTATTCTTAATTTAAATTATATTGACTAAAAGAAATTCAAATATTTCTGCTAAGAATAATAAATTATAATGACACTTTTTTAATACAAGAGAAGAAAAACCATATCAAATACTTCGATTGAAATGTAATAGATCTTCTCTTCATCAATGAATACTCTCAGATATCAATCACCATTTTCAACGCTCTAGGCAAACTCATACTGTAGTTTCCTTTATCCAAGGCAAAGCTCATTGGAATGGTTGAGAATCTTCCTAATTCTAGCTATGAATATATGTATACTGAAAGTCATCGTTTTATTATTCTAGTGCATAATTAAAGGAGAAAAAGAAATGTGAGAATTCTTTGAATATAAACATACTTGTAGTGCTTGTGAATTATTAGTACCAGCTGTAGTATTTATGTAATTCAGTACGACTTGAGGATATTGTGATACTATTATTGGCTGATCAGCTTGAATGAAAAGACGTGTCATAATATTGAAAAGATTAAAACTGATCACAATTGATTCGGTCAGTTGCTTGACAGTTGCATTTACTTGAATATTGAAGTCTGTTTCAATAAGTACATAGGAAGTAACAAAAGTGCGTGCGAAAAAATCACGAATATTGTCGGTAGCTGTCAAATTAGCTAGTTGACAAATACGGGACAGTAATCCAAAGTACTGAGCCGCTTTACTAATCCATGAACTACCAACCACATCTTCCGGACCGCTATTCGATAGTAATAAAATCCATGATTCGCTAATTAGATCACTTGAGCATAGTTGATGAAAAACGGGAGACAATGAAACAAATGTCTCATAAGGCATTGTAGTATTTGCACAAGGGCATGTAAGTGTATCTGGATATAAGATTTGTAACTGATTGTATTTAGTTAACGATGGATTTTTTTCAATAATTGTAATTGTTTGACTTTTGAGTGAATTAAATAAAAGAAGACAAAGAATAGAACCTAAAACGAAGAAAAAAAAGTTAGGCCTAGATAATACTACATGAATGCAAGGAGGGAAAAGCTAAATTTTTTGATTCCCAAGATTACTTTTTTATCGATGGTTACTAATCGAAATTTCTATTATAAAAAAGGGCGTCGAGATCTTCTCTTGTAGAATATATATGATTTTTCAGAAAATCATGATTGTTTCGTCCTTGATTCTAACATCATTTCACTGAGTAGGTCGCACAGATTCTAAATGAAGATATGTACCTGCGAATAAAATGAGAAAACAATATGTACTGATACGCTGTTGTTTGATGTCATCCACTGTTCTATTCGCAGCTGATTTGAATATGTTTAACTGTTTCATCCACCGAACTAAATCACGAATAGATGTTAAAAAATACTCTAGAATTTCAAAAATACGAATTATTTTATAGAGTAATATTATTTTTATTATCGACAAAACATACCATAGTTAATAGTGATTCTTATCGAACGATGTCGAATTTTCCATATAATCTTGATCAACAAAGGTGCAATTAACCGAAGAATAGCAGTCAAACCACCATAGAGACTGATTAAAAGAGACAGGATAGATGATAAATTGAACGAATCTATAGTAGAATATGTACACGCTAAAGGAGCACATTGATTAAAATAGTTCGTGTAGTTGATTTTGGTTGACCATTGTTCAATAAATAGATGAGAGACAAGATCGCTTACATTAATATTTCGTCGACTAGACGATAGAGGAAGATCGATCAATTTGAAGTTTGACTAGAAGAAAAGAATTGCTTAGATATATATCAAATTAAATATATTATACTTGATTAAGAGCTGGGAAATAATCGAATAAAATTTCTAGACATTGAACATTGTACAAACAATCAAGTGTACTTGCAAGAACAGAATCCAGAGGAAAACATCCTCCGAAGAATCCGTCGACGCTTGCAGAAATATCTGTATAAGCACTGCCGGTAATGTAGTAAATAGGCCAATCTGTATGATCAACTACGTTCGTATCTAATGGTTGAGCATAGAAAACAGCTGGAGTTACCATAATCTTTTCAGTGCAACTTAAAGCGTATGCTCCGATAGGTCCATTATTGTTTGGGTCCACGTAATACGTAGAAGTAATATATACTGCATAAAAGCCTATATGAACAACTGCATTCGTCCCAAAAGCAGACACGAGAGTATTGGAACGATACATCATTTGGACAAGTTGTAGAAATGTAGTAACTTGAACATATGCGGTGGCATTAACAAGTTCAACCATGGCTTTTACTTGCAATTGAATATCTTCTTCTTCGAAAAGTTCAACTGTAACAAGTTGATTATTCTGGATATCTAATAGTGCCTTTGAAACGATATCGTTCGAGATTGAACAAAGAGCAGCTAACAAGTCGAACTAGAAACAGAACAATAGATTTCATATGATGAGGTGTGGGTGTGATGGTAATTATCCAAAGCATCGCGATTGACTTTTTCGATTAAACAATTACCTTTCAATTAAATTTAATCACTCCACAGAACGTATTAGTATCTTAGTGCAGCGAATAATATCATACGACTATACAAAAACAGAGGTTTCATGTGTTCGTCCTCACCGATCTTTATTTTATTGTAATAGTTTGCTTTCATCAATTTTTTTCTTTAAGTATAAATAGAAGGTGCTTTCAACTCACTTGAGAAAATGCCGTTGTTCGAAAATCGTCCAACAAGTATGCATTGGCTACTGGTAAATAAAATCCTTCAATCCATTCTTTACTAACAAAAACGCTCGAACATACAGGATGAAATGAGACATTATTTGTAACGAAGGTATTATAAGGTATGGTAATAGTTGAACATGGACATGAGAGTGTTTCACCATGTTCTCGATGAAGTTGATCGAAGAGTGATGGAGTAAGATTTGAAATGGTAACGATACGACTTGTTGGACTTAACAATGCGATGAAGAACAACACGTAAAGAGAAACTAGAAACAAAAGATGACAGAATGAAACATATTACACTATTATTTAGATAATAATATGAGCTTCCATTATATTTCTATTAAGAAAAAAATTATTTTTATTGACTCACTAATGAAAAGGAAAACGTAGAGCCATGTAGAATGTTTCTGTTGCTTGACACGTATTGTTGGATCTATTGGCTGATCAATGTCATCCTCATAATGGTCTTCGTCTGGTATAAACAGATTGTACGTGTGTACATAATCATGAAACCATGCAATAAAATTTCTGATTCTCATTCTTAATACAAGCCTATTATCTAAAAATCGAAAAAGAATATAGATATTAGAAAAGATTGGTGTGAGTATTGGTCTGGGTGTTATAATCATCTCTCACCCACACCCTGAAAAATTTAATTAAAAAAATATTTCATGGAGAAAAATATCCTTTTCTAATGGATGCCAAGTCATGCACGATTTGCGATGATCATCATTGAATTCAATTATTTCTGAATATATTGTATTTTTTCATTTAATTTAGGAAGGAAATTGTTTTATTTTATCGAGTAGATTTTATTTTTATTTTAATAGTTCGCTTGGATGCGTCTGTTATAATAATATCCGTCATTTACTTTCCAAGAATATTTCTAATTATCAAGAAAATGCATAAATTTGACTGAGAGAAAATTCTTTGAATAGAAATTATATTTCAATCCTAGCACGTATAATAGAACATAAACCATTAAATTTTTATTCTAAATCACTATAAAAATCATGTGTCGACGTCAGTATCGAGTTTTTTAGTTCAAGATTCAAATAGCTTTATGAAAAGGAAGAACACTTACCATTTACATAACTGAGTAAGATAAAAGAAAAAAAACAGTTTAGTATTTGTCTACTTTAAGCGAGATATGATTGGCTGATAATATACAACAAAATCAATATTTATTCGATTTCTTGTTACAAATATCTTATTCTTTATAATAATATCTACTTACCTTATTATCAATACGAGAGTTTTATAGTATCAAATGTTAAGGCATAATATCAATGAGGAAAAAAAAATCTCTCTCAACTTCTCATTTTTTGAAAAATGAATATTTAAATGAGCATTAGTGAATGTTCTAGAAAAACGTAGATAGAATAAATAATAGAATTCAGAGAGAGAGAGAGAAATATAAACACTGGATAGAAAATTGGGGAAATTATTTTAACAAGTAATTAGAACAATACGAAGAAAGAAATTTATTTAATAAGTTTTGTAATGAAGCAGAAAAAAAGCATGACAAAAAAATAGAGCAGTATTTTATTATCTTTATTTTAGATAAAAGTATGATAGAATATTTCAATAGGCACTAGAAAAATTGATTATATTCATAGAAACAAACTTTATGGAAGATATACCGTATGGCCCATAAGTCAGATAACACAATATTTGTTTTGATTTTTTTCCTTTACATTTACATCTAGTATATTATACCTTATATACTAGGTGATCTAACAAGGGAAGGTTCCTAGGTGCGTTCCAGGGATTTTAATGAAAATTATAAGCGAAACGATTTTTAAAAATTTCACGTGTATGGTTCGCTATACAGATTTTTTTCCCGATCACGACGGTTAAAGTCGAATGTTATATTGTCGTATAGATAGCAAATAGTTTTACATAAGTCTTTGTTGTTGTTTTTTGATTATGTTGTTTATTTGAAAGATATATTTAAGCATTTAGGAAGTGCAGTTTCATAAAAACAATAATCTACGAGAGAAAACAAGTAACGACGATATTGAATATTCACAATGTAGTTGAGCAAAAATAAAGCGAATGACAAAGAAAAGAAGAGGAAAGGTAAAGAGAAAAGAATAAAACAAGAATCTTCCACCCGCACTCACACTCATTTCAGAAATATTTTATTTAATATAGTTCGTATATTCCAATTAATTAATTACCACTAAGATAATAGAAGAAAATAATAAATACTATATTGATGAACGGAGAGAAGGACATCTATTGAACATTCTCTTCATATGATAACTAATATAAATAAACTGTGGACTCGAGTATGACTAACGCAAAGTTTGACTCACCTTGACAAGTCTCATCTTTTTTAGTAAATAGAGAAAACAGTAATTTAGATTAGATATGTTTGTTAATTTCTTCTGATGAAACAATAATCTAGAGTTTTATATGAAATTGATTATTAAAACCTCCTATTTATACTAAAGTGACCGTAGGAGACTAGATTTAATAAAAAATAGTGTTTGAAGGAGAATTGATTTTAGAGTATTTTTATCGTCTGTTCATCTTATAAAAACTAGATGTCGCTTTCAATAATGTATTCCATATTTTCTTATTAAACAACAATCAATAATCTGCATAAGGTATGAAACTATAAATATTTTATTAAAGCTGTTTTTTCTCTTTTTCTATTTGATCTTTCATTCATTTATATTTATGGCCCAGTATTCTTCTCTGTTAGAATATGTTGTAATTAATCGATTTTTTGACCCTGGTTTCTCTCAAAAGTGTATAACAAATCAATTTAGTGAAAAATAACTCTGATAGTGCATATTGTGATTCAAACTTATAAAAAGATATTTTTAAGTCAAATTAAGCGATAAAATCGTTATTTTAGGTAAATTGATTTTTTCTTCGATCCTTTAGGAGTATCTCAGGATTGAAAATTTTCTAAGAGACTAAAAATCGAGTAATCACCACATATTCTAAAAGAGAACAATATTGATCCAATAATAGATGATAATAATAGTCTCATAATGCATTCTTAAATTTTACTCGATCAACATCGAATATCATAGAATTCTAGTCAAGGCAGTTTTGATTAAATATAATTGCAATAAGTGAGAATCAAACTAAATCGAGAAGGGAGCTATGGAGGGTGTGAGTGTGGATGTGGACACTGTACTCGCCTCGCTCCGACACCCACATTCGCAGCCTCACACATTCACCCACTTCCACACCCACACCCATGCCTTTAATCTATTTGGCGGAAATTAAAAGGAAATAAATAAACTGTTAGCATTTTTTTCCATATCCTTTTTGCATATTTACCGTTGATTACACCGTTATTTAGTATTATTTTTACAATCTATTTTACATTGTAATTCTTTTAGAAAAAATTCATCTGTATTGATATTCAACTTTAAAATGGTCATTTCTACATCATACAATGAACGAAATAATCCTATAAGAAGACAGTCAATATTTAATTGTCGATTCTTTTGTACATTATGCTGTTTAATTTTTTGTTTTTTTGTATTTTTTTTTGGACTATTATTCCTCTACGTGGGTTTATCTGATGGTCAATTTGGGAAAGGTGTAAACTGTCTCGTAGGTTTCATTATATTAGAGATTACTCTTTATTTATGTAAGCGATTATGTCCCACATTAAAGCAATATTCATTAACAGCACGTCATAGACGTCAACATGTACAAGTAAAAAAAAACATTTTTTCTATTTTTATTTATTTTTCATATTTTAATGTTAGAGATCACAACAGCACGAGAATAATTTGACATTATCATCAAATAATAATAATGAGAATTTAGAGTAGGTTTTACTTTCTTTGTATTGATACACTTTGATTCTGCCTTTTTTTTATAGATTAGTTACGAATGGCATCACCGATTTACCGTCATATAGAGAATTATTTCCTTATGGATCAGCTATTCGTAACAATGGTAATCATTCATCTTCAGTATTGTTGCCACCATCTTACGATGATTTCGTGCAAAGGCCTGATATTCATCATCAGACTACAACTCGTCCGATATCATCGTTGCACTATTTTTTATTATCGATACCATCCACACCTTTATCCTTAACATCTTCATCACAAACATCTGTTAATATTCGTAGTACTATTCAACATGTGTAAAATAAAATATCTCGAATGTGTCAAACCGATGTATTTTCCTCGATTGTAAGAAGGGTCATATGAAGTAAAATAGTTGGTGGGTGTGGATGTCAATGAAAATGGTAAAGTAGAAAATACACCTCTACTCACACCCTTTTCCATTGAGTTTCATCTTTGGGAGAAATTTAAAATTAAAAAACTTTCCTTTTATTGTGTTTTTAGTTCTGAAAGAATGTTTCATAATACATTTATTGAATTAAAAGAATTTCTATTACATATATTAGTTTAACCTCCTAATGATTGAAATGTAATTCAAGATGTGAGTTATGTTTACGTATGTCTTTAACACATCGGTTTCCTTCATGAAGACTGCTATTGTTCTTGATGTCAAGAGTACGTTGTGTCTATATGAAATAAGAAAATTATATTTAATTTTGTCGTAAAGCTTTGGCTAAGTATTGTACTCCTTGTGGACCAATATGATTAGAGCGTAAATCAATTGAAATGGGTGTGGGTGTTTCTTCTTTCATCATCCTCACCCATAGCTACGACCCATATCCGAATTTCTTTTTACCTACAATAAAAAACAAAATAAATAGACAGAAATATGCAGAATTACAAGCGTTATTTGCCTATCTTACTGGAATCGAAAACTGAGAGGGTGGTAGATTTGCCATCAAACTCGTCGGAGTCCTTTGATATTCATTTATGTTGACTATTGAGAAAAATCAACTCAAGATCCTTTATATAAATGAAAACACAATTGTTGAAAGTTAGTAGATCGTTATCCATAGTTCTTGTTTGATATTTTAAATATGAGGATAATATTCAAGAACGAAAAATAAAGCCTTTATTTTGACAAAATCTTCGATTTCTTCTTTCTATATCAATATACCGTCACATGGTTTGTTTTTTTCTTTCGTTTATAAACTTGTCTTTCATGAATACATCTACCAGGTAATGTTCTTTTTTTCAACTATCAAACAGAATAACAATTATAAATGGTAACAAAATCTGTTTCAAGAAAAATTCTTCTTGTATCATTAATTCTCTTTAGTATTGGAATTTCAATTTATTTTGAACATGATTCCAAAGTTAAAGGTTATCAAAAAGGTCTTGAGGGTATGGGTGTTCTTTTAATTTCACACCCACATCCTCAAACTAAGACAAAATTTACACATAAAGGGAAAATGAACCTCGCTGTTGCACTGCTAATTGAAGTCGCCCTATAGCTGCCATGGAAAGACTACAATTACGTAGATGTATTTTTCGAAACTCAGGATATGCAAACATAGCAGAGCAGATTCTATCTATACTTGCATCAGTTATCAATTTATTGTCAGATAAGCCTAGCCCAGGTATACCACCACGCTGATCAAATTTGAG